CCCCCCCCCCCTCTTACCTTGGACTATTTTTCTCGATTTATGCGTGTCATCCTTGCGCAGGGGCCATGATAATCTTCTTTCTCTGTAGCGTTCCAATTTTACTGGATGTCCTGAAGGACTAAACCAAAATATGATCTATGATTCTATATGCATTGACCCCCTTTTTTTCCCTCTTTCTCTTTTCTCATCAAACTCTTCTTGATGTGCTACTTATCTACGTCTCAAATCTCGCTTCTTTAAGTTCTTTAATTGTCATTTAATGTTGAAGCCTTAAGGGTAATAGCCGCATTAGCCAGTACTATTTGTGAAGAAATGCGAGTACACCTCGACATGGACACTACTTATGGTACAGTACTACCGTGAATGTACCAGGGTAATGGCTGTACCGAGACTGAAAGTAGGCCCAAGTACAGCTATAATGATCGTAGGTTGTATTCGAGGGTAGACGGTAGAGGAGCTGGAACCCAAGACCAGTCTAGTTATCAAGGGTACGCACTCAACATGTCTCAGCCACCTTTTTTTTTTTTCTTTTTTTTTTTCAGTTTGTAAGACGAAAAGCTCCAATCTATTCATGGGGAGCAGCACGTGCTAGGAAGTGGAGAGCGAGATGAGAGTCTAGAGCGCCCTGTGGCAGCTCGATGAACGACTCAACGCTCTGTTTGCCAAATGAAGATTGCACAGAGAATTTAAGACACCAGGGCCATTACTCGGCTTCGGCAGAGAAAAACAATCCAGAATATTCAGAAAAGCCACTAAGCATCAACAATCTTTTTTGAAGTTTTTTCTCTTTTTTAAAGTTTTTTTTTCTTTTTTCTTTTTATGAAAGGCAACGGGGAGACAGTGAAGTTAACAAGAAATGACATCAGCGCAACTGGTTTAAGGCTTTAAAGTTTAAACCACCAGTACACGGCCCCATCCGTGCAGAAATAAAACTTGTCGCCTCAAGCGAGAAAAGGCAAGATCGGTGCAGGGTCGGACTGCAGCAGCCTATGAAGAATTATATGGGCCCGCGCGGGCCCACACACGGACTTGTTTTCGTCCGTGGTGGACTACTCTGCCTTTCTGCGAAACCGGTAGTGGGAAAGCGGCGGGCCCTATGGGAAAAAAAAGAAGAGAAAAAAGACCAAGCACTCCCTGTCCGTACAGGGACTGGGCGTTACCGTGCTGCCTGCACGCCGTACGCACCTTCCCGCCTTTCACCCTGGGCGCGTGCCTTCTCCTCCTCCTCTCTCTCTATCTCTCTCTCAGGACATTGTGTCACTTCAGGAGCTCTGGTTCCGAGAAGACTAAAGCGCTGACGATAATTGGCACGTAGCGAACACATATGAGGTCGTAGATCTAACCGCGGTATTAGAGTTGTTTTGGAGGGAACTCAGACCGATGGACTACCCATGGAGAATTACCCGCACGGCGATCTGGGCTTTCATCAGAAACTGCAAGGACACAAGAGTACGGAATATATTCCGTAAGTATCTGGAAACAGAAGAAGCACCGAACAGGAACTGAAAAGGTAAATAAAATAAAATAAAAATAAATAAAATAAACACGCACGCTACAAAAACACTAAAAAACGCACAAAAAATCGAACTAAAAAACAAAAATCTACAGATATAATGATGCGAGAAGGGCCGTATGGATTTCTCAACGTAAGCTTAGAAATGAAGCGAATCAAAATCCACAAGATGTTTTCAGGAGAAACAAGCGATGGAAGTTGAAAAGTACTCACCTGAGAAGATAATGACGAAACCCATGACCGCGCGAAAAACAAAACAAAACAAAAGAAAAACAAAACAAAAGCAAGAAGCAAAAACAAAGCCATGACACAAGTAATCCACGACGGATATACTGAAAACTTCGACGGAAATATGGCCATGGGGATAGCCTCTGAATGTATGAGTACGGAATTCCAGATAACAGACAATAGCACAGAAGCGGACACAGGGATGTAACGTTATATACAGCAAATGGACGACAACGGGAAATCTACGATAGAAAGAGCAGTACAGAGCAAGACTACGGGAGACACAGAGGAAACGATGATGAGGACGCTGCAGGGCATGTGGACAAGTAGGTGGGGAGGAGAAGGAAAATAGGGTATAAAATTCAGAGACAGTGGCTGAAATGATTACCTGAGCAGTGAGGTAGAAGGGTAATCGCGACAGTTGTCGCATGCCATGGACATGACGTGTATGCTGCGATAGTAA